TGGCATACGGCATGTGAATTATTTGACACACAGGAGGGGAGAGGGCTCCAGAAATAATAGCCTCCATTCTCTTGTTTATTTTCTAATTAGAAGGCATTTTCTGAGGCAAAGTACCTCCATCAGCCCTTATCAGCCCTAGGTGTCATCAGTGACATTTTCACTGTACTTTGTGCCCATTAAAGGCCTTCCCTGCCAGTGTGAACACTCTCTCTTGTCTGCCGACATTAGTGGGTCCCACAGGCAGCTGTTATTAGAATGTAAGAAAGGAATTAAAAGTATTTGGATGTTGGGGCGCCTGGGTGGCTCAGCCAGTTAAACATCTGCCTTCGGCTCAGGTCATGATCCCAGGGTCCTGGGATGGAGCCCCACATTAGGCTCCCTGCTCTGCGGGGAATGTTTTTCCCTCTCCCTCTGCCTGCCACTTCCCCACTTGTTCTCTCTCTGCCAGATAATAAATAAAATCTTAAAAAAATAAATAAAGTAGTTGGATGGTACTCCCATGTTCATAGCAGCATCACTCACAATGGCTAAAACATGGAAGCAGCCCAAGTGTTCATCAACAGATGAACGGATAGGCAAAATGTGGTATATACATATAATGGAATATTATTCAGCCTTTAAAAAGGAGGAAATTCTGACTTATGCTACGATATGGATGAACCTTAAGAATATTATGCTAAATGAAATAAGCCAGTCACAAAAAGATAAATACTGTATAACTCTACTTCTGAGGTACTCAGAGTACTCATAATTATAGAGACAGAAGGTAGAATAGTGGTTGCCCGAAGCTGGGGAGAGGGAATACAAAGTTGTTTAACAGACATAGAATTTCAGTTTTACAAGATGAAAAATAGTTATGGGGGTGCCTGGGTGGCTCAGTCGGTTAAGCGTCTGCCTTTGACTCAGGTCATGATCTCAGGGTCCTGGGATCGAGCCGTGTGCATCGGGCTCCCTGCTCAGCAGGGAGCCTGCTTCTCCCTGTCCCTGTGCAGCTCCCCCAGCTTGTGCTCTCTTGCTCTCTGTCAAATAAATAAAATCTTTAAAAAAAAAAAAAAAAGATGAAAAATAGTTATGGAGATGGATTGTGGTGATGTTTACACATTATGAAAGTAATTAATACCACTGAACCATACACTTAAAAATGGTTAAGATGGTAAATTTTACCACAATAAAAAAGAAACTAGAAAAATAAGTTCTTTGGACTAACAGTTGACTAAACCTGACCACTTCCAGCCTCAATGTGAGGGTTAATCGTATAATTACAACTCGGGGCATCAAGTTCTTGCTATGGTTCCAAATAAAATGCTATCTGAAAAGTCCTTGTCAGATCCTTCTATGTCCCATAATGTGACACAAAGGAGCATCTCGTGCAGCTCCACCACCCTCCATTTAATAAAGACAACAAGAATGCTGGCTGTCTCCCTGACATCACCAGTATGGCACAGATGGCTGGACCTCAGAGGGATCTATGGAACCATTCCAGGCCCACTCACAGTCTGACTTGTGCATGTGCTCAGTAGTATTTGCATGAAAATGAACTTCACTTCCCACAGCAATTCCCCATATAAAACAAAAAATTTTTCTGAAGATTCAAAGGACATTCTAAAAACTGGATTCTATAAGGCTAGTTCCACAACACTGCAGGAATCCAAAGTCTAGGACAAATTGGGAAACTGCAAATAAAAATTTACAAATCTCCCCCACCCAAGAAAATGCTTTGTTATACTTTTTTGTACTTAAAATATTGAGCCATCTCAAAATCATTTTCAGTCCAATACCCAAAATCAACTGGTCCGAAGGCATTCTGAGATGAGTACTACAAGATGTGGTACAAATAATGATTCTTAAAAAACATTTACAGCAGGGGTGCCTGGGTGGCTCAGCCAGTTAAGCGTCTGCCTTCGGCTCCAGTCATGATCCCAGGGTCCTGGGATCGAGCCCTGCGTCAGGCTCCCTGCTCGGCGGAGAGCCTGCTTCTCCCTCTCCCTCTGCCTATCTGTGTTCTCTTTCTGTCAAATAAATAAAATCTTTTAAAAAAAACAAACAAACAGCATTTACAGCAATAAAACTCAAATGCACCAGAAGCTGGGGAGGGGGGTGGTAGAAATAGGGAGTTGTTCAATGGGTACAGAGTTTTAGTTTTGCAAGATAAAAAAGTCCTAGTGTAAATATAGTTAACATCACTGAACATACACTTAAAAATGGTTAAGAGGGTAAGTTTTATATTATGTGTTTTTATTACTACAATTAAAAAGAAACAGTCACAGGGGGACCTTGGTGGCGCAGTTGGTTAAGCTTCCAACTCTTGGTTCGGCGTCCAACTCTTGGTTTCAGCTCAGGTTGTGATCTCTGGGTCTTGAGATCAAGCCCCACCTCCAGCTCCAAACTCAGCAGGGTCTGCTTAAGACTCTCTCCCTCTTCCTCTAACCCTCCCTCCCACCATGTGCTCTCACGCGCGTGCTCTTTCTCAAGTAAATAAATAAATCTTTAAAAAAAGTCACAGAAGTTAGTGCCCCAGCAGTCATACTGATGCAAAAATATTTCAGATCAACTAACTTCTACTGTCCAATACTAACCCCTAAAATTCCTTTTGTCCCAACTAAAAAAATAAATAAAGTGGACACATCTCGCTGGTAGAACATGGAAGCTTCTCTAACTACAATAAAGCTGAGGGAGCATGTTAAGGAAATAAGAAGACAATACAAATACTAAGCAATGGTAGAAATACAAAGCAGACTATTTAAAACCAATCTGTGTCATCCCCATCTGCAATCCAGCCTAAGTCTCTAAGTAAAACTGTATAGAGACTTCTCCTTGTTCCAAAAATAAAGAAAAACTCCTCAACCTGCTTACAAGGCCCACCACACCTCTCCAACCCCCTCTCCCACCAGATTCAACACTCTTCCTGTTCTCTACATAGAGCTGTACCCTAAATCCCCAGTCCTCCCCATGAACCCCACCATCTTTGCCCTTGCTGTTTGCTCTGACTGGAACACTCTTCCTTTCCCGTGCATCCTTCAGATCTTAGTTCAAATGTCTTTCCAGTGACTTCCCTAAATCAAATAGTGTCACTGTTGCAGTTTTACATTCATGTGATTATTTGGTATCATCTGCTAAAAACAGGGGCCAGAGATGCATTCACTCTCCCCCCCCCCCAATTTCCAAGGCCAAACACGGTGTACCCAATAAGCAGTCAAATATTTGTTGAACAAGTGAATATAGGGCACTAAACCTATAAGAAAGCAATGAAACATCCTAAGAGGTTTCCTTAATGAATCTTTGGAGGATGTCCAAATCAATTAAGCCTAAAATCCCTATTCAACTCTTAAGAAAAAAAAAAAAAAACAAACATTTCTCTGGCCCTTCTATGTCCCTAGGCAAATGCTGAGCATCAAAGGCTGATAAGTAAAACACACAAATACACACACACATCGTAGATAAAGCAGAATTACTACTTGCTGAGCAAATTGTTTTTGGCATTTCTTGATACAATGCCTGCTACATAGGGGGCACTCTGGAATACCTGTCAAATGAATAAAGAGCAACATTTCACAAGATTCGTAAGTATATATGAACTAGTAACTAACTCTACTGAAAACTGTGGTGACACATATAAAAGTAAGACCGTCACAGAAGCAAAGGAATGAATCTCTTAAGTGGGAAAGCCCCCTACTATAAGCCATATTTATTTAGATCTCAAACAAGAAAAATGCCAGATTTGTATTAAGAGTGAAAGAAATAGATACTGCAATCAAGTAATCGTAGAGCTTTAAATAAAAACTACAAAATGTCACTTGGAACTATTTCCCAAAACCCTTAAAAACATAAGAAACTATTTAGGATTTCCTGTCCCCTCCAACACAAACTATCTATACTTTAGAGATATAATCCATAAACATAATACAGAAAACTCCAGCCCACACTGATCTCTCCTCCCTCTGATTTTGCATTTAAACAAATGCTGCTTTATAGTTTTCCCAATAATAACAATCTATACACTCTTATTTTATATCCTTTCACATAACACAGGGGGTGCCTATTAAATACTTACTGAACTGATACGAAATTATACTGCGTTAAATAATGGATTTTGGTACAGAAATTCCTGCAAATGTCATTCCTGAAGATTTTTCATATGCCTCAGTTTTAGCTTCATCATTAGATTAAATATAAAGTCGTTATCCAACAATGTTCAAACAAGGTTTAGAGTTTTCTTAGTACCACATCTACAAACTCAATTAAGGGAGGTTTTCAGTGTCACGGTATCTTTTCACATGTAAGTCAAAGATATTAGCAACACCTGTCCCTACTTTCTTCAACGTAGCAAATTTCTCTTGAAATTTTTCCCAAACTTAATCAGTCCCAGGGAGAGTTCCTCCTGTAGAAAATTGGAAGACACAAAATCTAAGCTACATGATACTAACCGCACATCGCTAAAAATAGAAAACCTAATCCCCGTTAAAGGATCAGTTCAAAATGTTCAATTACATGAGTCTCCACGATCAACAAAGCAGATAAAATACACCACTCTGGAAAGCGCAAAGCAGCAAGCAAACAGCAAGTATTCTAGTTAAGTGGCTGCTGTTCAAAGCTGCTCAAACGCTCCATCCCTGCCAGTCCCGAGCATCTGTATCAGGATCCATGAGAACGCGCCCACAGGGGACCCGAGCCTCGGGAAGCGTCCTCTCTACAGCAACAGGCTCTGTTTAATTCGGGTTTTCCTATCCGCGCCCCTAAGACGGCTACAAGGGGGGGGGGGCCGGGGGGCCGGGCGCGAGGAGCCGAGCCTGGCAGGCCGGGTCGGCGGAGAGCTGGGGGCTTGTGGTGGGCAGGGGCGACGGCGGACTCGGGCAGCGGTGCCAGAAGTGGAGGGCGCTCGCCCGGGGCCGCTGCCGCAGGTGCCCCGCTAAGAGCTGCGGAGACCCGGCAGGCCAGACCCGGGGCCGGTCCAGGAAAGGGGTCGAGGGGAGGCGCGCGGGACGGGGGCGGGGAGGCCTCACCGTTGCTCCCGAGAGGCTGGCGCCGCGGCGGTCCCGCAGTTGCTAAGGAGAATGCTCTTCCGGGTCAGGGGCGCGGCGGTATGGAGAGCAACGGTGGCCGGAAGGGGCCAAGAGCGACGCGCGCAGCAAGAGCGCGGCGGCGGCGGTGGTCGGCGGCTGTTCGGCTGCAGGGGGCGGGGCGGCTGGCAGGGGCTGGCGAAGGGCCAACGCGACTTCTGGGCCTCGCCTCGCGGGGGCGATGGGCTGTAGCCGGTGGCTCTAGCGAGGCCACCTCTTAGAAGCCTTCCCGCCTCAGTCCCCTGCTCCGGAACCCGCCCAGCTCGGGTTCTAGGCCCCCGGCTGTAGCCACGCCGGCCCCTTCCTGGGACAGGGTTTTACTCATTTTTTCATTTAGTAGACACTGGGTTGTTGGACACCTGCCAGCAGGGCTGGCACTGGAGAGGCAGGGAGGGGCGATCCAGGCGTCGTGCCTACCCTCAGAATGCACAGACTGATGGGAGGGCAGGCGGAGGGGTGCTGCTCACCTGGGTGGGCTAAGTAAAGGCAGTGGGACCTACCCAGACACGGGTGGGGAAAAGCCGATGGTGGAGACTTCAAGCAAGAAAAAGAGTAGGGAGGAGTGTTTCAGGTAAGAAAGAAAGTAGGCTCGGTTGAGAAACCCACTGAAAGGTCAGTGTGCCCTGCCCAGGGAAGTGGGTAGAGAAGGATGGAACCTAAGAAAACATCAACACTGTAGGTGTGAACAAAGGAAAAGGAACCTCCAAAGAGCAGTCAGAATGTTCGGTTGAAGGACTGCTGAGAAGACAGCAGGAGAGGAAAGAATTCCAGTAAGGTGGTGGTCACCACTGTCATGATGTGGCCATCAAGTGCCTAGTGGTGACCATAAAAAATCAAAATTCAGGAATATGGTGTCAATATCGACAGTGGCTTGAATCTGTGTAGTGAAGGAGTCCACCACCATATGCTCCATATTCAAACAAGGAAAAGAGATACGTTAAATTGTTCCTGAATGCCGTAATGTTTTTGAAAGTATTTGTAAATTTCAGGATTCCTCTACTAATACCTCTACTAATTCTTTTTTTTTTTTTTTTAAGATTTCTTTATTTTAGGGACACCTGAGTGGGTGGCTCAGTCCGTTAAGCATCTGCCTTCAGCTCAGGTCATGATCCCAGGGTTCTGGGATCGAGTCCCACCCACATCAGGCTCCTCTACCTGCTGCTCCCATGCTTGTGCTTTCTCTCTCTCTCTAACAAATAAATAAAATCTTTAAAAAATAATAAAATAAAGGTTTCTTTATTTGAGAGAGAGAGAGAGTACGTGTGCAGGAGCGGGGACAGAGGAGAGGAAGAGAATCTCAAGCAGATTCCCTGCTAAGCCTGGAGCCCAGCACTGGGCTCAATCCCATGACCCTGAGACCATGACCTGAGCTTGAAATCAAGAGTCAAACGCTTAACGACTGAACCACCCAGGCACCCCTCTACTAATTCTTGAATGTGGAAAATAATTTGTTTTATCTTGCATCTACGGTGCTTGCCTCACACAAAGGCCTCAATCGGTGTTTGTTTAAAGAATAAATTAACCCATGAGCCTTTTTTTTTTTAAGATTTATGTATTTGAGAGAGGGAGAGAGAGAACGTGAATGGAGGGGGTGGAGGGGGTTAGAGGGAGAATGAGAGAATCCTCAAGCAGACCCACGCGCCACCCACTGAGCGTGGAGCCTGACCCAGGGCTTGATCCCAGGACCCTGAGATCATGACCTCAGCCAAAATCAAGAGTTGGAAGCTTAACCAACTGAACCACCCAGGCGCCCTGAGCCTTTGGTTTTTTTTTTTTTTAAGATTTTATTTATTTATTTGACAGAGAGAGACACAGCGAGAGCGGGAACACAAGCAGGGGGAGTGGGAGAGGGAGAAGCAGGCTTCCCGCGGGAGCAGGGAGCCCGATGCGGGGCTTGATCCCAGGACCCTGGGATCATGACCTGAGCCGAAGGCAGACGCATAATGACTGAGCCACCCAGGCGCCCCTGAGCCTTTGGTTTTTAATGTTCACACAGGTCAGAATCCTCCGCGAAACTGTGATGTAGGCAAAATTGTCTATTCAAACTGTAGATGAGATGGAAGAAGCCCAGCAGGGGCAGGATGCAGAAGATGGCAAAGGTACAGTGATCCAATGGGTGGGAGAGGGCCCAATGGGGCCAGGGATGGGAAGACCCAGAAAAGGAAAAGAACAGAGGATTAATAACATAAAAACTGGGGTTTCAGAGCCAGAAATGGAAGATGAAGCCAAGAAAATTATTAATGCGGCCTACTTTCTATTAATTTTATTAATATAAAAATATAAAAATATTAGAAGCAGGAATAGATGAGCAAGGACAAGAGCAAAGGAAAGACAATCATTGTACATAAGTTCAATAGGAAAATCCCATTTGGGGACGGCTGACAAAGTTTGGTGTCAGCCAGTGTGAAGGCCTCAGGGCTGGGTGACGTGTTCCCGTATCATCTAAGTAGAGTGAGCTCTGGGCTTCCTCATGTGGGCCAAAGGAAAACCACAACTGTAGAGTCACACTGTAGAGTGACTTGGGGTGAGAGGCTTGCCCCACAAGCATACCTCCAGTCCAGAACCAGTACATTCCCATTATATCCAGTTATTACAACAAGCTCATCCAGAAGAGGCATAGTCTTCTCTAAGACACTGTAAATCTATCGACAATGGATGTAACCAGCCATCTGTGGGAGTAAACCAAGAAATTTGAAATGTGTGGCTGAAAAGTTTAAAACACCCAAAATATCAGCCAAGGGAGCCTAGGTATAACATAAGCAAGGCAGGACCAGAAAATGGTTACAATTTGATAAAAGGAAGCTAAATCAATTGTTCTGTGAACAGAAGGGACAAAGTCAACTTGTGATATAGACAAAAAGAAGCCCCAAATCCTTAAAGTACAATAGATAAAGTCTACCCTGCATGTTCCTGGCAGCCTTGAATAGAGCATCAATTCTAATGAACCGTGTTCTGTTGAAGGGCCAAGGTGATTCATTAGGCTCAACTTGGCTGGGGTTCCAGGAGATTTCAGTGCTATCTCAAGAGATGGAAACTTATCATTGCTGTGAAGAGCATCATATTTTTAGAGAACTACAGGGAGTTGTGGGTAACTCTGTACTTCCAGGATGGTGTGGGCATGAAAGGTTCCAGATGATGTGCTTTGTCTGACTTTGGTCTCTTTGGATAATGGATAGCCAATTAATGATGCAAAATGCTTTGAGGAATGCCCAGAATATAAACAGAGGACCAGGGTTACCATGCCCTGTTGGTATAAACAGTGAGCCATCTGCTACCTCCAGAAGAATTCCATTTTGGCATTGGGAGGGAGTGTGTCTATTATGAAATTCAAGCCTTCCTGGGAATTTAAGGATTAGAGACAGCTATAGTGCCCCAGAGTTTTCCAGGTCCAGCCTGACCCTGATTCCTAACCACCACCACCCCTAACTCGGTGTTCTCCTATACTAACATCACCCGGTCACAGAGGCAGAAACCCAGACACATAGGAGACATCCGTGACTCCTGCACTCCCCACCCCTCCACCACACCCTCACCCTTACAGCCCGGTCCAAGAACAAGTCCTGTAGATCGTCTCATCCCTCCCCACCCAATCCCACTACTACTAATTACGCTGAAAGGAGCAAATAACCAAGCAAATCAGGATCAGTAGGAAGTGTTAGAACATCAGAATTGAAGCTGGGTGATAAAGATGGTGTGTGTGAGAGAGAGAAAACAAACAGCATAGTAACCTAACGCCACAAGAACTTCAAGGAAATGCAATGGAACAAATCCATTCAACAACAACATGTTTGATTGCCTTTCACATGTGGATTTCATCTTGAAGGAAGTAAAAGATAACAAAAGGACTATTAAATGTGTTGAAGAAAAACTAAGGTAGAATTGAACATATTCCAAGAACCAAAGTGAAGGAGTGTTTGCTGGCCTAGGGGTATGACTTTGGAAGGACCCAGTCAGCTGTGGGATGGAGTCAGGTGCCATGAGCCTCATCCTTACTTGTGCAGGCTGATAGTGCTGCTGACTGAGTGTTATGGGTGAGCAAAAAATATGTCTCATCATCGCCATATCAATTGATCTTGGCCTTCTCAATTCCAGCAATCAGCCCCACCCAGACCACTATTTCCCACTTGGAATTCTTGTCTGATTAGAGTCTGTTTTTGTTCTTGTCTCACTTTAAACTTAGTTTTTTTTAAACTTAGTTTCTCTTTTCCCTCTATCTTTAGGAGTATTATTTTTCTCTTAGCTGTTTAAATATAAATCCTTCTAGATCCTCCACAACTTTTGCCTCATAGATCTTAGCCCTTATCTTAATTTCTCTTTTACCTTCTATCTCCTATTTAAAATCTTGTCTTTTTGAATACTTCTAACTGCTCATTTTATCAAGATCTATCAACATGTTATTCTTAATTTTTTAGATTTTTTTTATTTTCTAGTTCTTTGCTCTTTTGTTTCTTTTATTTTCTATTTAACATATGCTACTTCAAGTATGAATTTTAGAAACTTGTCATTTACAATGTTATTCTTTCTAAGTTTTTATTCCCACATCTTTGGCTTTAAATTTACCTTAATTTTTATTTATTTATTATTATTTTTTTAAAGATTTTATTTATTTGAGAGCGAGAGTGAGAGAGAGAGAGAGAGAGCACATGAGAGGGGGGAGGGTCAGAGGGAGAAGCAGACTCCCCGCCGAGCAGGGAGCCCAATGTGGGACTCGATCCCGGGACTCCAGGATCATGACCTGAGCCGAAGGCAGTCGCTTAACCAATTGAGCCACCCAGGCGCCCCTTTAATTTTTATTTTTTAACTTTATCTCTCATCCTCCCGTTTTGGTCTTCTCTTCCTCTGATCTTCCATCTTTTTTCTAATTTTGAGCTCTCTCTTTTAATCACAGATATATCTCAGCAGCTGTAAATGGCATCTAATAATTACTACATTTTAAAAAAGAAAGAATGGTCCTCGCTTAGGCAGAACATATACTAAAATTAGAACAATACAGAGAAGATTAGCATGGCCCCTGCACAAGGATGACACGCAAATTCGTGAAGGGTTCCATATTTTTCTAAGACTGATGAATCACAGACCTGTACCCCTGAAACAAATAATACATTATATGTTAATAAGAAAGAAAGAAAGAAAGAAAGAGAAAAGAAAAGAGAAGGAAGGAAGGAAAGAAAGGAAGGAAGAATTACAGGGTACGTGGGTGGCTCTGTTGAGTAAGCCTCTGACTCTTGATTTTGGCTCAGGTCCTGATCTCAGGGTCCTCAGATCCAGCCCCGCATCAGGCTGGGCAGTCAGTGGAGAGTCTGCTTCTCTCCTCCCTCTCCCCCTGCCCTCCCCCTGTGCTCGCTTTCTCTCTCAAATAAGTAAATAAATAAGTCTTAAAAAAAAAAAAAAAAAACATAAAAGAGAAAGAATGACATTTAAACTCATTAAACCCAGAATGTTGATGCCTTTGTTTTGTTGGAGAACTCACTGCAGAGGAAGGTCTTTATAGGACAAGGGTTTACATTTCTCCTGTACCTTGCCCCCTGCCAGATATCAGCCTCACATGAAGCTGGCAATTCCAATACAACAGCAATGCATCATAGCACTTAAGGGGAAATCAAACTGCTGGGTTCAAATCCAACTCCTTCAGTTACTCACTGTGTGTCCTTAGGCAAATTACTCAACCTCTCCATTGAGGTTTCCTTACCTATAGCATGTGAATAATGATGGTACCACCTCATAAGGTTGATGTGAAATTTAAATGAGTCAATACATGTAAAGCACTTAAAACAGTGCCTGGCACAGAGCAAATACATGTTTGTTATTATTGTCATCTGATAAGAAGTTATCCTAAACAGTAGTCAGTCTTAGGAGTGTAAAACAGCTAAGTCTCTTGTAGATGATGGTCCTGACAGAGACAGCTTTCTTCCTTCTGTAACACACGCTGCAGGCTACCAAACTTCTCTTTTGGCATGCTGAGAACCCCCAATTTTTTTTTTTCCAGATAGCAACTCTCCTCCAAGGAATCATGTGCTGGAGGGGAGGGAGGGGTTTGCTCTGCATCTGTGTGTGTGTGTGAGGTGGGTGGGGGACAATTTCAATGAAAGGTGAGTCTTTTTCTCCCGGTCCAGGGCCCAATTCTGAACAAGGCACTTCGTTTTCGAAGTCTAGAGAGAAAACAGCTGATTGGCCAAGGCCAGCCTGAACTGGGCGAGGGGTCCATGGGAGCCAGTCAGCTGACCCAGGGAAACAGACTCACTCAGTACAATTATGGCCATTCAGGCCTATACCTTCCTTAGGATCTCTGTGTATGTGTGTGCACTCATGGACCCTCAGGAAAGGGGGGCAAATTTCAATGAAAGTATATAGACAGGGAGAAATAATATTATGCAGTGGACAGCTCATCTGCACAGATAGACATACCCTAGTCTGAAAAGCAAGAGTATAAAGTATAATTTTTATAAAATGTGATCATCATATTTCAAAATATTTAACTGGAGATAAAACTTCTCAGAATGCCAAAATGAAACCAAGAGGATTTGACTAAAGAAGACTTAGAGAAGGTGAGTGAATGACCAAAAAAAAAAAAAAAAAAAAAAAAAATCTGAATCTATTCATAAGAAAGAAAAACAGTTTTGTTTTGTTTTTTTAAGAAAAGTAGTTTTTAATTAGAACAAATATAAAGAAATGAGCACAGTCTGTTTTTTGTTGGGTAAGGGAAAACATAGTAGAACACTAGGAAATTGGGTTGTTCAGAAAATTGTGAGAACATCTCATCTCACTTAAATGAATGAAAAAACATGGCCTCCAATAGAAATCCTAAATTAGGGCGCCTGGGTGGCTCAGTCGGTTAAGCGACTGCCTTCGGCTCAGGTCATGATCCGGCCGGAAGTCTGCTTCTCCCTCTGACCCTCCTCCCTCTCGTGCTGTCTGTCTCTCATTTCCTCTCTCGCAAATAAATAAATAAAATCTTTAAAAAAAAAAAAAAGAGTAAGAAATCCTAAATTAAGCTAAAGAGAAAACAAAGAATTTTATTAACTGAGAAAAATACAGAATAACACAATTACAACAATTATAAGATTACATGTAAATGGACTAAATTCTCCTATTTAAAAAACAGCATCATAGACTGGATTAAAAAGACAAAATCCACACCTATGAATCTTTTTTAAAAAAATACATTTAAAGAAAGGGGAGATAGAATAATTTAAGAGCCTGGCTCAGGTAAATCATGCTTGCATGAAAGCAAGTATAGCGGGTCCCAGCTTGACTGATTAAGTTATGTTCATCCCAGGATTCTGGCATACCTGGGCATGCCCAGAACACCCGTGGCAGGATCCACTGGAGGTCTGTTTTCATGAGAAGACAGCATCCTAGGAAAGAATCCCTTCTTCAGGCAAGGCCAAAGAGAAGCCCAAGGATAACAGGTCAGTATGATGCAGTGTAAGCTGCAGGGGAGGGTGTGCATACAATAAAGCTGTCTGGCCTAAGGCAGCCCTGCTCTGTAGCTTTTCAACAGAACGGGGCCCCAGCAGGGGAAGGGTGCTGTTGGAGCATGTTGGCGTTAACTCTCCACAATGCTCCATTCATTGGCCCCAAACACAGGCTCTGCCCCAGCCCCACTGAGAGATAATGGGCAAGTCCCTGCACCTCGGGGGCCTCCATTACTTCCACAGAAGGAGGCAATTGGAGGAACTGATCCAAAGAGGAAAAATTGGGAAATAGGGAGCTTTCTCAAGTGCACATTAAGCCTTCACAAACAATTAATTGCAATTTTCAAGATAAAGATATTCACAATAGGTAGACAAAGATTTTACACATGCTTTCTCGGACTTCCATAAAATAAAGTTGAAGAGAAAGCCAATATTCTACCTATATGCACACGACCATGCAAGAATGGAAGAAAGACTCTGTGATGGAATAATTGAGTTAAAAAGGCAACACCAAATATGGGGACATTACTTTAAAGACAAAGAAAAAAAGATACCATTTACACAGTTAAAGCTGTCAGTGAACTTTTGTATTTCTCCTGCCTATGCTAATAAGAAGGAAAAAGAAAAAAATAATTAACTCTATACTTAAATTTTTTAAAGATTTAGGTAACAAATTTAAAAGGGAAAATCAAAAAATTTGAAACAAATAAATTAGAAAATAAGAGGGTATCTGCTTAATATGCAAAACTGAGAAGAAATTAACTAATAAAATATTTGCAGACTGTTAGGATAGCCAACTAAATACCCAAGAGAATATAAGAGAAACAAAATGCAAAAACTATAAACACAAAAAAAGTTTCAATTATTAGGAAATATTATTCAAAGTTAAACTCTAATAAGTTTTAAATATTAAAGGGAGTTAACAATTTTGAATACAACTTACACAAGAAGAAAAGAGAACTCAGGTAAAAGGAAAAGATTAGCTAAAGGAAAAGTTTATTGTAGAATGGAAAATTTATTGTAGAATGAATCAGTGAATTCTTTTAAAAAAGGCACCTAGAGTTGATAATGTTGTCATTAACACTTTCAATATCAAATAAAAACCAAATTCATTTCGTGAGGCAAATATGGTTATTTCCCTCCTACTTGTAAAGATAAAAATCATAATACTGAAAAAAGTTTCAAAAAAATTCATACATAATTTTACTACTTGTGCACAATTATTTTTATTTTGTTCTATTTTTCAGGACTAGTGCTAGATACTCCCGCATAGTTGCAGAATGTGTAACTATCTTATATCCCTTCTTTTATAAATTGTAACTTAGTATGGTCCATGTTTATTGTAGAGTTTTCTTTTATCTTATGCTATTACATAAATTATAAATGTTAATTGGAAATAACTTAGCTAATACATTTGATTATGAAGAAGCAACTAAAAATGTATGCCTGATTCCACCACCCAAAAATAGACAGATAGACATATAGATAGACATTGGGTTTGGCTTGGAATATACTTTTCTGAAATTTTTCAGATGAGATATACAGTTGACCCTTGAACAATGCAGGGGTTGGGGCACTAATCCCCCAGACAGTTGAAAATCTGCATATAACTTTTTTTTTTTAATTTATTTATTTATTTGACAGAGAGAGACACAGTGAGAGAGGGGAACACAAGCAGGGGGAGTGGGAGAGGGAGAAGCAGGCTTCCCACCGAGGAGGGAGCCCGATGCAGGGCTGATCCCAGGACCCTGGAATCATGACCTGAGCCGAAGGCAGACGCTCAACGACTGAGCCACCCAGGTGCCCCTGCATATAACTTTTGACTCCCCCAAATGTTCCTGCTAATAGCCTACTGTTAACTGGAAGCCTTACCAATAACACAAACACTCAATTAACACATATTTTATATGTTGTATGCATTATATACTGTATTCTTACAATAAAGTAAGCTAGAGGAAAAAAGTTACTAAGAAAATGATGAAATACATTTACAATACATACAGTGCTACATTTATAGAAAAAAAGCTGCATATAAGTGGACCCACACAGTTCAAACCCATGTGGTTCAAATGTCAACTATGTAATTCAAATAACATCTAATTCACCATTTTAAAGTGTACAGTTCAGTGATTTATAGTATATTCACAATGTTTTCCAATTATTACCACAATCAATTTAGAACATTTCATCACACCAAAAAGAAAGCCCATACCCATTAGCTGTCATTTCCCTCCCATCCTCCCAGACCTAGGCAACTACCAATTTTCTGTCTCTATGGATTTCCCTATCCTGGACATTTCATATAAGAGGAATGTGGCTTGGTCCTTGTGACTGGCTTCTCTCACTTAGCATGTTTTCAAGGTTCGTCCATATTGTAGCATGAATCAGTACTTCATTCCTTTTTATGGATAACTAATACTCCACTGTATGTATATCCACATTCTGTTTATCTCTTCATCAGTTGATAAACATTTGGGGTGTTTACACTTTTTGGCCATTATGAATAATGCTGCTATGAACATTCAAGTATAAGTTTTTGCATAAATATATGTTTTCAATTCTTTCGGGTATACACATAGACATGGAATTGCTGGGTCATATGGGCCAGGATATGTGGTAACTACACCATTTTAAATTCCCACCAGCAATGGACGAGGGTTCAGATTTCTGCACAACCTTGATGTCATTTGTTATTTCCCATTTTTTTTATTACAGCCATTTTAGTAGAGTGATATCTAGTAAAGTGGTATCTCCTTGAAATTTTAATTTGCATTTCCCTAATAACTAGTGATGGTGAGCATCTTTTCATGTACTTATTGACCTTTTTTGTATCTTTTTGGAGAAATGTCTGTTCAAGTCTGTCACCCTTTTTTTTAATCGGCTTGTCTTTTTATTGTTGAATTATAAGAATTCTTTATGTTTTCTGGATGCGAGGCCCTTATCAAGTATGTGATTTGCAAGTATTTTCTCCCATGTTGTGGGTTGTATTTTTACTATCTTAATAATATCCTCCAGTGCAATAAAAAGGTTTTAATTTTGATGAAGTCCAAATTATCTATTTTTCTTTGGTTGCTTGTGCTGTAGGTGTCATATCTATGAAACTTCTGCCTAATCCAAGGTCACAAAGATTTATGCCTATGTTTTTTCCTGTTTTAGCTCTTACATTTAAATCTTTTATATATTTTGGGATAATTTTTGTATATGGTATGAGGTCCCGGTCTCACTTCACTCTTTTGCCTGTGGTTATCCTGTTGTCCCAGCACCATTTGTTAAAAAGACTATTTTCCCACTGAATAATCTTGGCACCTTGTCGAAACCAGTTGACCGCAGGCATATGGATTTATTCTGGGCTCTCAGTTTTATCCTATTGATCTATAAGTCTAACTTCATGCCAGTGCCATACTGTCATGATTACTGTAGCTTTTTAGTAAGTTTTGAAATTGAAAAGTCTGAAAAGTTTTGAAATCGAAATGGAATATACTTTGCCATTGTTTTGTAACTTTTTCACTTCAAAAACTTGAAATTATGTATCAGCATGTGGACAAATACAATTCTATATAGTTATTAATTTAAATAAACATTATGAATTTTCCATTAGTTATTTGACCAAAATTACATCATACTGTTAGATACATAATTTCCAATCTTTTATCATAAACAGTGTTAAATAAACATCCATGCAACTAAATCTCTGCACATGCATGAAATTGTTTGCTTTGAAAAAATTATTTTTATTTATTAATTTAAAAGACTGTATAATATTCCATTAAGTTTGTGCACAATAATTGTATTCAGTGTTTAAGCATTATAAAGAATGGTTTGATACCATTTTTGTATATTTGGTTAAGCTCCTTTTGGATAATTTCCTTAGACAAGATATACTAACTTGAGATTCCTCAATCAAACAGTATAAACATTTTTATGACAATTGATATATATCCAATACATACTCCAAATATATGTAATTTTCAAGTTAATGCTGCCCTAAAGCAATTTCACTATAACTTTGTCAGAATTGGGTATTATACTTAAAAAAAAACTATTTTAGTGATTGAAAATAGTGCTTTATGTTTGAACTTCATCTGTATGATTCCTGGTGATGTTTTGACTTCTTTTATATGCTATAAATGTATTTTCTTCTGAATATATTGTTTTTTCATGACTTTAACCAATCCTCTATCAAAGCCTTCAATCCAATTAATTTGTAGAGTCTTATTAAAGTGTAATAATCACTGTTTTCTATAATTCTTGCTATAAACAATTTCCTGCCCATTTTGCCTCATTTTTTTTTAGGGTACAAGGATGGAACAGCAACCAGGGCATCATGCTGGGCTTAGAATATTTATTTATTTAGAATATTTATTTTGAAAAAAAAAGGAAAACTGAAGCTAAGCTGATTTTTGATCCTTCAAAAGTGGCCTCTTATTCTGGTGGGAGATAGTAGAACTTGTTATTTGACGTATTTATTCTGAAAAGTAATATACTCATTTAGTGCAAAGAGTAGCCAGTGAAAAAGTGCCCCCCATCCCTGTCCAGCAGCACCCAGTCCCCCTCTTGTTACCAGCTTCCTCTATCCCGACACCCATCATTCACGCAATCAACATTTTCATGGTCCCTGCTCCTTGTGACGGCAGTCAAAGACAATGGCTCAGAGAGGCTTGAACCCATCTCTCCCACAGACAGTCCGTGGCCTTGGGCTCGCCACTGGGTCAATCGGTTTCCTTATCTCGTGCCAAATGTCGCCTCTCCGCAAGAGCTCTGCTCAGTCATCCCTCTCAGGTCAGCTTTGTGGTTCTCCTCGCTTCCAATCGGGCCATTTCTCTTTGCTGCCAACCTTGAATCCCCCACCATCTCCTCCCACAGCCAGGAGGCCCATACACAGGCCCAAAATTGCAGTCAGCCAGGAGGTAGAAGCCTGGGGCTTCCCACTGCCTCAGATGGTCCCCAAGAATTCTTTTTTTTTTTTTAAGATTTTATTTATTTATTTGTCAGAGAGAGAGATGGAGAGAGCATAAGCAGGGGGAGTGGCAGACAGAGGGAGAAGCAGGCTCCCCACTAAGCAAGGAGCCAGATGCGGGGCCTGATCCCAGGACCCTGGGATCATGACCTGAGCCAAAGGCAGACACCTAACGACTGAGCTACCCAGGTGCCCCATCCCCGAGAATTCTTAACCAAATCCTCACACTTCATGTTCACCAGAATTATCTTGTCAGATGCAGTAAAAACAGTTACATTTTGCTTCCATGTTATGGATGGCAAGTGTTTCACCATGGGGAAGAAGGTTAAGATAAACAATGAACTCATTCACCTTACTCAGGGGTCAATATTTTTGTTCCTCTTGAAGAATAGTCCCTGAACTCTGAAAATATTGGCCAACATCTCTATCAGCAATGCCATCTGTCTGCAGAGGAGAGCAAGTTTTTAGTCAGGTAATACCTATATCCAAACACATATTTCTTTTTCTCTTTTGTTTTTAAATTGTTTTATTTTCATTCCAGTATAGTTAACATACAGTGTTATATTCGCTTCAAATGTACAATATAGTGATTCAACAGTTCTATACATGGCTCAGTGCTCATTAAGATAAGTGTACTCTTAATCCCCTTCACCTATTTCATCCGTCCCCCCACCCCCACCTTCCCTCTGGTAACCATCAGTTTGTGCTCTATCGTTAAGAGTCTGGTTTTTTTGTTTGTTTGTTTGTTTGTCTCTTTTCTTCTTTGTTCATTTGTTTCTTAAATTCCACATATGAGCGAGATGATATGGTATGTGTCTTTCTCTGAATTATTTCACTTAGCATTATACTCTCTTGCTCCACCCATGTCATTGCAAATGGCAAGATTTCAGTCTTTCTTATGGCTAAATAATATCCCATTGTGTACATATATACATACCACAGCTTCTTTATCCATTCATCTATGGGTGAACACTTGGGCTGCTTCCATAGTTTGGCTATTGTAAATAATGCTGTTATAAACATAGGGGTGCATGTATCCCTTTGAATTAGTGTTTTCATATTCTTTACTAGTGTGATTACTAGATCACAGGGTAGTTCTACTTTTAATTTTTTGAGGGCCCTCCATACTGTTTTCCACAAGGTCTGCATCAGTGTGCATTCCCATCAACAGTGCACAAGGGTTCCTTTTTCTCCGTGTCCTTGCTAACGCTTGTTTGTTGTTGTTGTTGTTGTTGTTGTTTTTTAAAGATTTTATTTATTTATTTGACAGAGAGAGACACAGCGAGAGAGGGAACACAAGCAGGGGGAGTGGGAGAGGGAGAAGCAGGCTCCCCGCAGGGAGCCTGATGTGGGACTTGATCCCAGGACTCTGGGATCATGACCTGAGCCGAAGGCAGTCGCTCAACCGACTGAGCCACCCAGGCGCCCTAACGCTTATTTTTTATGCTGTTGATTTTAGCCATTCTGACAGATGTGAGGTGATATCTCACTGTAGTTTTGATTTGCATTTCCCTGGTGATGAGTGATGTTGAGCATCTCTTCACTGTCTGTTTAAAAAAAAAAAAAGGAATCCAATATCATTCATGAGATTGTTTAGCTCTCACCATAATTGTTATTGTTTAAAGACCTCTTTCTTCACACCCACTAGAATGGCTGTAATCAAAAAGACAGATAAGGGACGCCTGGGTGGCTCAGGCGGTTGGGCAGCTGCCTTTGGCTCAGATCCCAGGGTCCTGGGATCGAGCCCCCCGTTGGGCTCCCTGCTCGGCGGGGAGTCTGCTTCTCCCTCTGCCTGCCGCTCCCCCTGCTTGTGTTCCCCCTCTCTCTCTGTCTCTGTCAAATAAATAAATAAAATCTTAAAAAAAAAAAAAACAGACAAAACAAGTGTTGATAATGATGTGGAACAGTCAGAACCTTCACACACTGTTGGTGGGAATGTACTCTGCAACCAGTTTGAAAAACGGTTTGACAGCTCCTCAAAAAGTTAAACATGGGGTTACCATATGACCCAGTAATTCCACTCCTAGGTATATACTCAAGAGAATGAAAACATATGTTGACCCCAAAATCTGTGCGATATATTCATAGCAGAATTATACATAATAGCCAAAAATGGAAGCAGTGCAAGTGTCCATCAACTGATGAATGGATAAACAAAATGTGGTGGATGCATACCGTGGAATATTATGTAACCATAAAAAAACAAAGTACTGATATATGCCACAATATGACTGAATCTTTCTTTTTAAAGATTTTATTTATTTATTTGAGAGAGAGAGTATGTGAGAGCACAAGCTGGGGAGAGAGGCAAGGAGATTCCCCGTGGAGCAGGGAGCCTGATGCGGGGCTCGATCCCAGGACCCTGGATCATGACCTGAGCCAAAGGCAGATGCTTAACTGACTGAGCCACCCAGGCGCCCCAATATCACTGAATCTTTAAAATGTTATTTTAAGAAAGCAGACATATAAGGCCACATATTGTCTGATTCCATTTATATGAAATGCCCAGAATAGGCAAATCTATAGACACAGAAAATAGATTGGTGGTTGCCTAGGTTTGTGGGGCATGGAGGGATTGAGGATTGATGGTTTGGGGGTGGGGGGTGGTTCAGGGTGATGGAATGTTTTAAAATGGATTATGGTGAGTGTAGCACAACTCTGAATATACTAAAAGCCATTGAATTCTACATTTTAAATGGGTGATTTGGTTAATGTACACATTATATCTCAAAAAGCTGTTTTAAAACTCTGTTTCCTACAGGTGAAAATTGCCTGTGTGTATTTAAGCTTACTTATTTTTTTAAAAGATTTTATTTATTTATTTGACACAGAGAGAGAGAACACAAGCAGGCGGAGCAGCAGACAGAGGAAAAGAGAGAAGCAGACTCCCCACCGAGCACGGAGCCTGACTTGAGGCTCGACGCGGGGTTCAATCCCAGGACCCCAGGATCATGACCTGAGCCAAAGGCAGACGCTCAACCGACTGAGCCACCCAGGTGCCCCTAAGCTTATTTGTTACAACACTCAGTCCATTGTATTTACTGATCCTTTGATCAGATCCTTAGAATGAATAATCACGACATTAAATTTATTTTCATGCTCACATTTCTCTAAAGAAAAAGAGAATGCACACATGCACACACACAGATGAGCAAGCGGAGAGAGCAATAGAGGGGGAGGGAGAGGGAAAGAATCTCAAGCAGACTCCACACTGAGAGCAGAACTTGACGTGGGGCTCGGGCTTGATCCCACAACCCTGAGATCATGACCCCAGGCCAAACCAAGAGTCCTACGCTTAACCAGCTGAGCCATCCAGGCGCCTCTCTTGCTCACCTTTAATACGGGATTTGAAAGAAAGTATTAAATCAAGTTCAGCAGACTCAGAGGAGTTGGTTCTTTGTTGAATAAATATTGCCCCCTTTCAAGTGAATTTATCCTTTCCAGGAATGTAAACTCTTCTAGACATTGACTGATAATAAAAATGTGGATGGAAGCTCTCTTTTCCATAGGGACAATATCATAAGGAAAGCTCTCGTGATTAGCTAACCTCACAGTTCTCAGAGACATAAGGTGAATTTTCAAGAGGCTATCACTTCCCCAGGTTTTGTTTCATTTCAGTGGAGGTAAGCTTGTGGATTTCAAGAATCCATTCCTAGCTCTTTCCCTGAGACACATTTATTTATTTTTCACAATATCAAAACCAGTGTAATGGGAGAGTCCATAAGCTTCACCTGCTTGTTGGACAAGTAAGATCACATTTACATTTATGTCCAAGTTACCCCAACTCTGGGACCTCCCTGCCTTGTCAGCAGGAAGGCTGGTCAGTTTGGGGGTGTAGCCTACCCTAATATATGAAGTTTTCCTGCCGTGCTTGGATATGTCCCCAAATTTGTCCCCAGTATGTTCTCTCCGGCTGCCTGCTAGGGAAGCAGAAATGCAGACAGTCCTTCAGGGACACAGGCCTCCATCATTGCAGGAGTCCACCCCACCCACACCCTACCTGGGGGCCTCCCGCTGGCTGCTGTTGCTGCCTCCAGCCCCGTGGCTCCGATGTCCGAGGTGGCCCCGGCTCACTGGCTCTGCTCGCCAGGGTGCAGGTGTAGGTCAGCCACAGCGAAACTCTAGGAGAGCCTCAGAACCACAGTTCCGATGGTGCTCGTGCCTGGTCCACCACCTCTACCACCCCGGGGAGACCGGCCCCACCTCTGGGTCCCTTAGTTGAGTGGGGAAGGCAGAGGCTGTTGCCCATGTTACCGGTGTCCAGGGAAAGTATCGGCACCCCAAGGCAGCGCAGCTTTTCCAACCCACACACAGCCGAGCCCCCAGGCCCGCCCATGGTGCCAGTGGGCTGGCGTGATCACGACATAGGTGTGAGCTCCTGCCCGGGAGGGCTCGATTTCCCAGACTAGAGTTAAGAAATACCAGGGTGGGGCGCCTCAGTGTGGAGTGGCTCAGTCAGCTAAACATCCAGCTCTTGATTTCGGCTCAGGTCATGATCTCAGGGTTGTGAGGTCGAGCCCCACATCAGGCTCCGTGCTGAGGGTGGGGCCTGCTTAAGAGTCTCTCTCTTCCTCTCCCCTCCCCCACTCTCCCTCTCTAAAAAAAAAAAAAAAGAAACACCAGTGAGACCACGCACTGGGGGGTTCCTTTCAGGACTCCCATAAGGCCCCATGCTGGTTATTCTCCATTTACCTGCTCACCCCCCAAATCCATTCTGCTTATTCTCTGCCCTGCTTGGCCACGTTCTGCCAGTGGCTGCTTTCAGCAGTTAAAAGTACTATTGAAAGGCCCATCTTTCATGCTCCCAGCTCTCAATCTCCCTTTAGTCCCCTTATCTCGTGGGTAGTTGTAGAGAGCAAAATGGAGTCACTTGTGTCAGCGGCGGCTGGTGTTGGGCGGTGATGCAAGCAGACATGGGGGTTGCAGCTAAGACCAGATGTCGCAGAAACTAGCCCAGGCTGATGGCACCCAGGACTGATACCCGGCAGAACCAGAGAAGGTCTGCCAAGGCCCAAGACCGATTAAACTCCTTTAAAATGGGAGGATTTTCGCAGCAAACTGTCAGACTTTCTAGATGCTGACCCTTTCACGTCTGACCCCATCAGGTTCTGCCTGATTGATCTCTGAACAGAACAGAGATCCTCCACTGCTTGAACATAATAAACAGCACGTGCCAAGAGCTGACCCAGATGGGACAGGGGCCCCATCTCAACTGCACGCTCACCTGACTTAGCATTTGGTTTGTTCACTTCCTACCCCTTGTTATATCTTGGCAGTTGTGCGACTCTGGGCTGTGCTTTGCAGTGTGTGACGTGTGAGAAGCCACATTAAACACACAGTGAAATGTCATTGAGCCCAGAATCCTGAACCTGCTTTACTGTCATGTTTACCTTGCTTTATGATTGAACAAAGCTGACATGGGGGAAAGACACAACCATATGTGTGCCATCATAGTGTCCCCACGGAAGTAGTCTTCTCTAAATTCTCCCAGTTAAACCTTCTGAGTTGCCACGAACCTGACTCCCACTGCCCCCCAGGACTCTTGAGGAATCCTCGGCAGAGAGGTGGCTCCCCAAAGTCATGAAATTGACCATCCTGTCAATAAGGCAGCTGAAGACTGAGCCACGTTTAATCTGACTTCGAAAAATAGAAAAATGTAGGCTTTCCTGCCCCTTAGCATCGCAGAGCAAATCCACACCCTGTTACCCAAGTTCGGACCTCTGTGAGCCACTGGACTCTCTCACTTGGCCACCCAGAGCTCGCCTGTATTCTTCAACACTTTGTGAAGAGATGTGAGGTGCATAAGACTGTTTGTTGCCCTCTCCGTGACCCTGGGCTCCAGGGGCAGAATCAGTGAGGGTCTGAGGCCCATGTGCTCAGGGAGAAGCCCAGTTCCTGACACAGATCTGGGGTTGATGCCTTAACCCTACAAGTTCCTTGATCCGAGCTGTTTCATTTAGAAAGGGAGTCACTGACCAGAGATAAGATCAGGTAGGATAAAGCCATTGGATTCTGCCCTCCCTTCTCATTAAGTTGTATCTTAATAACTTGATATCATTTTCTGGATAGGCTGGTTACTCATGTCTCCCAACAGCAACCCACAGAATGCTTTAATGATTGTGGTGATTGGTAACACCTGCTTTAAATTTTTTCATGTTAAAAAAATAAAGCTGGCTCTCTACCTCACACCTTAGTAAATTCCAGCTATAAAAATGTACACATATACCAACACATACAAAACTCCATAAAAGTACTGGGGAAGAAAATAGGCGATGTTTATTTCATCTTGGGAAGTGAAGGGGCAGGCCTTTCTAAAAATGACACCAAAGCAAAAAACCATTAAAAAATATGATGGGTTATGGGGCACCTTGGTGGCTCAGTTGATCTCAGCTCAGGTCTTGATCTCAGGGCTGTGAGTTCAAGCCCCACATTGGGCTCTACACTGGACATGGAGCCTGCTTAAAAGACAATAAAATTTAAAGATGATGGGTTTGACTATATAAAAATTTGAAATTTCTATATGCTACTATCCACGTGGATTAAAAGTCAAAGCAGAAACTGAGAAGCAACATTTTGACACATGAGAAGCAAAGGGATAACGTTCCCAGTGCATGAATAACTCTCACGAACTAATTAGGAGTAAAAGAATACTCCAGTGGCAAATATGGAACGGATATGATGACGTGGTATTTGACTGACATTTGCAAGTGGCCAATGACCTCATGAGAGGACGCTCAACCTCACTGGTAACCAAGGGAAGATTAAAAAAGAAGAAGAAAAGAAAAGTAGGAGGAAAAAGAAAACCACACACATAGCATCATCACCACAGAACCCATGGGGTGTCTTTCCTCACCTCCTAAAAGAACAAAGGTGAAAAAGACTGTAACACCCAGTGGGGGTGAGGGTTCTCATGCTACTTCTCACATACTGGTGGGAAGAGTGTAAATACTACAAACTTTTTGGAGAGAAGTCTGTCAATAAGTATCAGAAGCCTTAACAGATGGATACCTTTTGACTTAGCAATGCTCCTGTTACCCCTGATCTGGCCTTGAAAGGAGGGATACCGTCTCTCTTGGCTACTCCATCCAGAACATGGGACCAGTTCCTCCTCTTAATTCCCCCAGCAGAGCAAAGCCCAGGCTCTCTGAAGAGATCATGTAATAATTCACTTTTTCTAATGATTCAGGAAATGGACAAGAAAAAAGATTTCAAGGCTTTTCCGGTCGACCTTATCTTAATATGAAAAATCTTGACACATTAACTTGGTAATGAAGTGCAGGTTATATAGTACTCAGGAAAAAAAAAAAAAAACTGTTTTCATATTTTTAAAGGTAGAATAAAATAAAAACTTTCATATTTTTAAAGAAGTATTACAATGCTTGGGGCCTGCTTAGGGGAATGGGCCCCAGGGAAGTCGATCCTCCACCAGCCTCTGAGCTGGAGGGTACCAATTGCTTTCTGTGGAAAAGTCGACTCCCCACAGGTACTTCCCTGGGTTTAACTGGCTTTAGCAACAGAACCCAGAGACAATGCCCAAGAGCAGCTCTAGGCTGGCCACCTTACGTACAACAGGAAAGACATCTCTTTCCTGTCAGTTCCAGGTAGGAAAAAAAAGAATCCCTGGGCTTGGCTTGGGTCACATGCCGATCCTTGAATCAATTGTAGGGCCAGGGGGATGCAACCTGTTCCAGACAATTATTGCTCTTCAATTCCCAGAACCACTTTCTCTTCTCCCTTTGGTAACAGTTATTAAATTTCCTTTGGAGACCCATTCTGTCCTTGTTCCCCGCGGTTCTCTGAGGCTGCCAATCTCTATACCCCACCTCTAGGTCCCAGACAGGAGCACTTGAACTAACACTGGCCAACCCATGAAAAACCATCTTCCTGGCCACCACAACTGGGGACTCGAATGAAACAGAACCAGTTGGTCCTTCTGTAAGATTCTGTCTAGACATTGGAGGGAGAAATCTGAGGGCGTCTCCCTCCTCACCTCCATTCCCTGACACGTGGAGAGAGATCCCCTGCAGTAGGAAAGAATACAGTCACTACACAGAGGCAGAGAGGAGTTATGGGAGAGAGGCGCTCGCTCTCATTTGAATCACTATACCTGGTTGTGATTAGCTAATAGCATCCCCCTCCCTGGACTTCCCAGTTATGCAAATGGTAAAGTCCCTGATAGCTTGAGTTGGGTTTCTGGCACTGACAGATTCAGGGGCCTGGGCCTGGTGAGATCTGAACCACGTGCCCATGTCTATGATCAAAGAAATAGGTCATTGAGATTGGCATACCCCAGTGAAACCACAGGGCTGGAGTGGAGGAGAATTCCCCAGAGAAGGGGCTACCACGCGGGACAAAGCAAACAATAATGGCAAATGAGGTCTGAAACATCATTGATCGAATAAAGAGGGGGGGCTACATATTATACTCTGCACCTTACAAAGAATAGACTTATTTTTAAGTTCCCATGAAATATTTATAAAAATAATATATATTCAGGGGCATCTGGGTAGTTCACTCAGTTAAGCATCTGGCTCTTGATCTCAGCGCAGGTCTTGATCTCAGGGTTGTGAGTTCAAGCCCTGCATTGGGCTCCAAGCCCAGGGTGGAACCTACTTTAAAAATATATATATATGTTATATATATATACACACACATATATAATATGCATATATATGTATATATTCAAGTACAATGAAAATCCCAGTAAAATCGAAATCCCAGAAATATAAGTTCTATTCTCGGACCACAATGCAATCAAATTAAAAATTCATAAGAAATTCTACACCTGAAACCAATTTTACCATATATGTTAACTAGAATTTAAATAAAAACTTGAAATAAAAAATAAAATAAAAATCCATAAGAAAAGTTCAAATCAAAGTAAAATGCAACCAATTAAACTTGAAATTAATCTTATAGAAGTTTATAAAGTAATAATAACATTTATATGGGAAAAAAACCGTTGAAGAATTTTTTTTTTAATTTTAGGGCAAAACCAGGAGAATACCTACCAGTCTATAGAACATACATAGCAGTTGGCAAAACTTTATGGTGGAACAGATATGAACAAATATATATATGGGCTATATAGAACAAATGTATTTTAATGTAATATGTAACAAACCAAGTGAAAACTTTAAAATGATGAAAGAAATACTTATCTCTATATTCATATGGGAAATGGATAATAAGTTCACATAAATAACAAATCCTTATTCATACCATTTACCACAGAACATTCCAGACAGGTTAAAGTTAAATTTTCACATGAATACACACACATAGCCATTAAAAAAAAAAACAAACCCACAACAGAATAGAAAAACATAGCTCACTCAATCTACTGACACATGGGTGTCAGGACAAAGTGTTTCAGAGCAGACAGACCTCTGGGTTTCAGTCCCACCGGAGGTGCTTACTCAAATACTTAACTCTCTAAGCTCAGTTTCTTATCTGTTTTCCTGCCTGATGTAGGTAAAAAAAACCCAATCCACAAGAATCGAAGCCACTTCATGGTACGGACTTTTAGTCTCTGCAGTGGATTTTTCCAGGCTGGGTGCTAGGGATGCAGTGGGGGATCTCTGGAACAGATGGCCCCAGGGAGAAAGCTCTGAGTGAAGGAACTGTCCAAGCATGTAATTAAAGAAAAGTATGGGAGGCTATGAGACTAGAATACATTTTTTAAATTTGTAAGCATCTGTATATAAACACAAAGAAAAGCAATGGAGTGGAGAACACTTCATGGTATCTATGAAACATAATAATATCAAGATATTTAACAAGCTGATAAAAGTATTTTTGAAAGCCCTTAGAAATTAGAGGAAGATGACTTAAAGCCACTTGGGGGCTCTTGGGCAAATACAAAGCTGCAGGATTAGCAGAGGAGTGAGAAGAGAAGTCACTCAGTCAATATGTACCACTGGCCCAGAGCTGCCAAACCACAGAGAGCTCCCATCATCAAATCCTCCAACTGGCAATTCCTCTGATTGAAGAAAGAAAAGAAAGAAAGAGGGAAAGAGAGGCAGGGAGAGAGAGAAGGGAGGGTAGAGGCAGAAGGAAAGAAGGAAGGAAGGAAGGAAGGAAGGAAGGAAGGAAGGAAGGAAGGAAAGAAGGGAGAGAGGGAGGGATGGGGGGAGGGAGGGAGGAATAAGAATTCTATTTGCATGGAGATGCTTTTTCCTGTGTAATTTATATATATACACAGTACTTAAACAGCCCAAATCCTGACTGTGATTATGTTACAGACTATGCAGATCCATGGGGAAAGTTATACAAAATTACATTACATTAAAAAAGTCGATCACAAGACACTGTGTACCCTTAGATTCCACCTAGGCACAAATTTTGGGCGATCTGAAAACTTAGAAAAGTAATAGGCAGATCGTGTTATATTGGTGGAGGCATTTAAACATTTTGATGTTGGTTTGACATTTCTGTTGACCTTGCACTGTAACACTGGGTCAATATTCTATACACCACTCACGCACAAAGTTGATTACAAAAAAAGAACGTTCGTCACTCCGCCCACATTAAGCTCGACACTGCCTGGGCCATCTTGAGGCTAGCTTCCTAGCCCCAGCCCGAGGTTTCCAAGCAAGTGAGAGCATGTGTGCGGAGGGCAGAGGTTGGCAGGGCCCCCAGCAGGAGCCCCTCCTGTGGGACACAGCTGCCCGCAGGGTCCTGGCCCGGCGAGGCCCGGGGAGCATCTGATCGCATGAGCTCATGTGAAAGCCCTACGCCTCCAGGTCTCCAGAGAACATTTGCCATTCCTTTCCTGTCACCACCCAGCTCTGCGCTTGTGCCCATGAGCTCATAGTGCTGGGCAAGACCGCCTGGGGTCAGATAACTGCCAGGGGCAGCTCTTTTCCCAGCCTCCTGCCTCTGCCCTGTGCCTCCAAGAGACACCGAGCCGCCCCGACTCCTGCTCTGCGGTGCCACACGGAACAGAGAATCGTGTGAGCTCAGCACAAGTCTGGGGGGCTTGACGGGGCTCTCCCCCGCCCAGCCCTGCCCCTGTGCCCGCCTCGCCTTGCTCTGGGAACTGCTCAGCATGGGGCACCGCGCAGATCCCGCCTGGACTCCAGGCCCCGCCCCCGTCTGAGCCACTGTCTTGTTTCTGTCTCGGTTCCAGACTCAGCAGCACCCCTGAGCCCCTCGCTGCCTCCCAGGTTGGGGGGGCAGCCCGAGGAGATGCTGGGGGAGGGGAGGATCCCCACCCGGACGCAGAAATGGAGGCTCTGTCTGCCCAGCGGGTGTGAGGGACCGTTTCTCAGGTGCGTGACAGCTGGTTCCCGCACTCAGTCTCATCCACGAGGGACCCCTGCGTGCCAGGCCTCCTGCTGCTGGGAACCCAAGGTGAGTCCCCGTGGCCTTTGTCTCGGGGACGACAGAGAAGAGGACAAGCACCCCTTTCCTTGTGTCACCCCTGGCACTATCGAACCCCATCCCGCCAATTCCCGCTCGGACCGCCTGACTCAGGCTGGCCACCCGAGAGGGCTGGTTTCCGGACACTGGAGCTTTCCGTCTCCCAGCCCTGTGACCACAGTGCTCCCAACCCATCCGGCCCGACCCTTTCCAGACCCCCCAGAAATTAAAGAAGAAAAGAATGGGAAGGGGGGACAGTGTGGTCCCAGAGAAATGGCCGCTGACAGATGTGACAAAGGCCCCAGAACTCTGAGCAGCCCCCCCCCCGAGAAAATGGCCACGAGGGGCAGACGAGCTGTGTCTGTTTCTCTGCCCGACTGCACACCACGCTCCCAAGGGAGGCCGCTCAGCCTCGGGTGGAGACAGCTGTTCGCTCAGCAGATGTTCTCGCGGGGAGCAGGGGCGCCGAGCCCGAGCCCCGTGACTCGCTGGAGCTCGGCCAGCTCACCCTGGAGGCCTGAGCGGCCTGTTGAGCCCAGTGTGCGGCTGGGGGCAGATCAGATGGCCCGTCCGCAGAGCAGGGCTGCTGGTGGCTTTGCCAGCGTCTTTGCCACCGTGAGGGCAGAGGCTAGCTCTGTCCCTGCTGTCCCCCCTCCCCCAAGGCCTAGCACAGTGCTGGCCTGAAATCCCTGTGCATTTATTAAGCACCTACTGAGGGGCAAGCAGTGTGCAAGAAGCGGGAGTGACTCGGGTGGACGTAGGCATTCCTCAAGAAGCAGGCAGATGGTGACATCAAGGCTGTGACAGCGACATGCTGAGGGGCTGTGGGACTCAGAGGCTGGGCGGGCCCCCGCTGACTGTGTGGAGCCAGAGGAGAAGTCTGTGGGGACCAACAGGCCCAGGGAGAGCCCTGGCACTCAGCAGGGCCATCACACCAGAAGATTCCCCGGGCCATCCCACATCGTTT